ATTATTTCCAGCAATGCTAACAGTTATGGGGCATGAATCTCCAAACATCTTCACATACAAAAAAACCACACAGAAATTAAATTGAGATCTGAAGTCATTTTACGCCTTGGCCTGGGGTAACAATCAGATTGGACAACAGGGCAGCAGGATGTGATACATATCTAATAAATGATCACATTCATGAGAAACTGTATTAAGTGGATGTAAAGGGCCGATTAGATGAGTGATACGCACGGGGGCGGAGTGTTCTTCACGCTCACAATTAATCATTAATTTAGCCGTAGAGAGAACACATCATTCAACTATAAATGTTTTTTTTTTTTTTGTGTACTGTTCAATACAAGCCATTACAGGGTATTTTATCATAACAAAGACCCAAGTTCTGAATTCTAAAAAGGACTTACTTTAACATGATAGACGAAGCATCATGTTACAGATGTCGAAAAGGCTTAAATTATTAAAAAGAAAACACCCTCTACACCATCCACAAGCAGGCTGAATAGTATTTAGGCTCCCCAACATTTGGCGACTCAAAAGAACATTAACTCAAGATGTAATTTGCTTGTAAAGCTGACGTGGTTAATTCATTCACCAGTATGGCCACCGTGGTGTTTCGACATGTGTTTGTGGTGGCTAGCAAAACAGACCACCCACCACGCCTCAACGAGGAAAACACAGAGATATTGATGAAGGAATAAAAGAGAAAAATGAGAAAGAACAAACTCACATTGATGTAATTTGCATTGATGTAGTCATCTGTGCTTTTCAGAATGACCCGTGTGGCATCATCTGCGGAAGGAGACAAAAAAAGACAACAAAAGGAGGTAAGATTACATAGAGAGAAAGAGAGAGAAATGTTGACAAAGGAAGAAAGGAAAGATTTCAAGAGGGAAAAAAAATCAGGTGGAAAAGGGAACGTGTGTGAAGGAAGGAACAAAAGGTTAATGTCGGCACATATTTGAACACACAAGCAAACAGAAATAGACAACCGTGTGCAGTCACGTACAAGGAGAGATGTCTCTGTAGCGATTTTTGGAAACGTTCTGAGGTAATTTGGCACACAGCATGGTCATCCCCGGCCTCTTCCTGTACAGTTGCTGAAAAACAAAAAAAAACAAACAAAAAAAACCACACAAATTTAATATTAAAGTTGTGGCAGAAGGAAGACGATCAGTAAACACTAAGTATTTATTTTGCCTGTGTATGTAAATATGCAAATGTTTCAGATGTGTGAAAGTGATTAAACCTACTACAAAGAGTATCAATCAGTCAATTTAATACTGATGCCTCTATGACCTACATAAAGACCATAAAGACCATCAGCCAGAAGACTATACTATATACTATAGGCTATTCTATAGTTATTCTTAATGCCTGCCACTGGGTCAGATTCCACTTGAAATCAATGAAATTAGGTGGTAGAAATAACTAAACAACTAAATTAAATTTCCTTGTTGCTGCTTTAACAAACACACTCAAAAACATTACGTATGTTTGTGTGCATGAGCGCTTTCATGCTGTGACTTTGTGTGCATTTATGTCTGGGTGTGTGTGTGTGTGGTTGTGTTTGCAGTTAACATTCCTCTTCAGTGAAAGCACAACACACAGACCTTAAACAGGAAACCGTTAAGTGATTACAACAAAGGACAGGAAGTTATAGGAATGTGAACGAGGAAAGAAATGTGTGACAAATGCTCCCATCAATCAATCAAATTTCTGATTCTAACCAACAACAGGAGCGTATATGGACAGTGTCTGTTTATGTGTGTTTGTTTCTATTTCTCCTCACATCAAACTGTGCCAGTATGGCTCCACTGATCAGGCCTTCCTTCAGTGTGACCATGGAGTCCCTCAAAGCATGCTGGTCTAGCTGGGTGGGGTCCTGAGGGGACTTCTCAGGGATGTATTGAAAATCTGGCTCCGAGTCCGCCTTCTCCTCCACCACGTCGTAGATGGCTGGATGGGACAGGGAGGAAATATTTCAGGAGTTTATATACACACAGCTGTTTGTGTAGGCTATGGGAGTAGTTGGTTTATCTTTAAGTAAACAATGAAGACAGAAAACATGCAATAACCAATGCACTACACCGCTGAGAGGAATTCAATACATTGATGCACTGCTCTGTTGTAAGGGAGGAGAGAATGCATAAATCCCTTTCTGACCCAGTTAAAATACCAAGAATGTCCATGTTTCATCATCTTTAAAAGCTTCCCTCCCACTTTGCCAATGCTGATTACAGGAAATGCGTTGCCATCTCTCTACATGGTGAATACATATACCTGAGATGTACCGAAAGCTCAATGTACAACTTCAAACAGTAGAGCTCTGTTCAAATTATAAGAGAGAGACTGAGCAGTCCAGAAAAGACCAGAAGAAGAAAAACTGGAGAACAGATGCGTAGCTGTTAATCTTCAGGAGTGGGCAGCACCAGCTATCCCTGTTTCACGCTTTGCCTTGTTATCATTTAAGTAGAAAATTCATGCATCACTAAATTGAAACAGGTTACACCACATAAAGTAGTTCTCACACAGAGATTAGTTGTTACTAAATAGATACACCCAGCAACTGCTAGCTATAACTGTGATGTAGCTAATGGAACTGAAAAAAGATCACACCTATATTTAAGATCGTCAGTTAAGTTTCATTTATATTGCTTGGCCTCCTTCCTCACTTCCTGTTCATACTGGTGATTGCTTTTGACTGGACAGCACTAGAGATGTTTCCTAGCAACTGATTTACATGAAGACATTCCTTAGCATTCCCAAATTATTAAATCACCTTCTTCTGAAGAGCTTCTTCTTAGAGACAGTTTTCTAGATAGTCTCTTATATAGATAAGCTAAAATATACAGGAGGTGGACAAAATAACAAGAATACATTACACTCTAATACAGTCCAATAACAGTGTAATTGTGTTGAATTACAGTCTGTTTTTCCAGTTCCTTAATGCCCATCTCTTGTATTTGTCAAAGATAAAAGGTGACGTAGACCCAGTACATTCAAACCAATGGGAACCACTCACCATTCGGTCTAACCAATAGGATGAGCTCGCCAGAGTGGCTCTCACAGCTGGCCTTGATGAACATGACAACCTGATCATGGGTGTGGTCAGAAATGTCACGTCCATTAATTAAGACCACCTGGTCCCCCTCGTTAAGGCGAGGCACACACAGGTCAGCCTGAAGACGGACAGAAAGACAGAGAAAAGACAAACGGAGACATAGTGAGATAAATCATTCTGAAACTTTCATTTCTAAAATAGTCAGCTATTTGCGAGGCTGCATTTGTTTTATTGTCGAAAGAAAATGTACTTATAGTCATCTAGTGACTGCATGGGGCGGTTGCTGACTTACTGATGTTCCCGGAGCCACTCGAGAAACAATGATGGGCATCTTCTGGTCAGCTCCACCCTGGAGATGCACAGACGCACATCAATTAACAACACAAAGCTTTCCACAAATGTCCTTCATTTCTGGGGAAGAGCTAATATTTAGGGGGTATGGAATTTGTCATGATGCATGAAGACAATTTGTTCAAAGGGTTTTGACTTCTTGGCATAAAAAAATAAGGAAAAGAAAGATAATATATATAAAAAGATACATTATATCTTTATTATTTATTATATATACAAAGTTGTCCCAACTATCGTCAACTCTCACCTTGACATTGAAGCCGAAACGTCCGTGTTCATCAGGTCTCATCTTGATTAGGACCAGATTATCATGAGGGACAACTCCATTTAGCTGCAACAGCAAAGTTGAACACAAATATATGAAATTCAAACACTGCTCTCTTCCATACCACCCTCCTCTGGGGCACAGGAATATTGGCTACAGCTCTAACACTACGACTATTACTTGGTTGATATTGGTTGGCAAAAAAGTTACTCCATTATACTGTTTCATTCAATTTGCACTTGGCTGGAATACAAACACATCTTTAATGTAAGATCAGGATTTACAGTGTCAAAAATGTATTTTTGGCTACAAGTGGGCAGAAGAAAATATCAAAAGAAGCTGACAGACAAGCATAATCATTTGTAACCTGACAAATTGAGGGCCAATATTAACTCTCCTTTTAACACTGTGGATGTTCAACTATGTTCACCAAACCTGCACTAACTTTGTCTCGGTAAAGTAACAGATTCACTAACTGTTACCTTACCTAGACAAAGTCAGTTTGTTTGCTGGAACTGGCTGCCTATCGGGATGTTGATGACTGCTGCTGAGACTATATACACTACATGTTTTGGCTTTAAAATCAAAACAGTAAGCTAAAAAAAAAGGCATAAAAACGTTTCTTAGAGCTGAATATATGGGGAAATTCTCTGTCATTTCAGTCCTATATGGAACTTGTTTTACCACACAATGTGATTTTGTTCAATGTTAATTAAGTATTAATTACTGCAAGCTCATGATGCAGTGAAATGACTGCTACTGTTTCATGCTGCCATACTGACCGTGGTCTTGTCAGCATTGACAGGAACATCATACATCTCGTTGAGGTGGTTATCCAGGAGGCTCTGCTGAGAGTGGGCCTGGATGATCTGGCTCAAGGTCTTTCTGCTCAGCTGCTTGGGGGGCAGAGCTGGAGGTTGACTGTCTAGCCCCTCTGGAGACCTGAGGGAGGGACAGAGAGAAGGAGACAGAAATAATCAGTTTAGTTTTTGACGCAAACAAGTATTTTTCAGATGCAATCTGGTTTTAATTCCATTTTTTTTACCACTATTCTATACGATCACACTTATTCAGTAAAGAACAAAACAATTACTACTTATTATAATTGTACATAATTACAAAATGAATCCCTATCTTGCTGTTAAGCAGCATAACTACTGATGAAACAACCTGGCCTTTTAAAGATGGAGGGATATCAAAGGCACAAAGCAAAAGACACAAGTAATGGTCTAGCTAAAGATTGTCCTGTTTGTTAAAGAGGTGGGCTTTGGTAGAAAAGGAAAAAGAGATGAATGGAGAAAAACAGATAACAGGGGAGTGAAAGAGATTGCAAGAGACAGAGAGGCTTAATAGCACTGTGTTAGTCACAATGCATTAACCTCAATAAAAGGGCTACAAGAGGAAGGAAAACACTCCCCTCCATCATCCAGACAATAAAAGGCAGTCAGTGTGTATGATGAAACAACACGGCCAGTCAGGTAAGGCTTTCAGAAGCACCACGGCTCACTCTCTGGGGGGTAAAAGCCAGTCATTTCACTCCATGTCTGTGTCCGTAAGTGTGCGTGTGTGAGGTTGTGTGCAGGCACTCCTTAGGGGCGAGAACACCAGTCAAAGAGCATTGCCTTTGTTTTGGCTGCGGCTACTGGTGCCACTTTGTGTCTTAAATACACACACTGAAACGAACATTTATTATGGGTCAAAACCAGGTCAGGCTTTCAGAAGGAGGGCAGTGCACAGCAGGCATGAGCCAAGACGGCACATCCTCCTACATGACTGCATTTCCTCGACACGACACAGACGAGGGAAATGGATATGGAAGTATCTTCATACCTCACCACAACTTAGCCAAGGCCCTGGGATAGGGAGATTATTTACACCGGACATAACGAAGCCCTGCTTTTTAAGTTTGAAAGCCTGACAGAGGACAGAACTAAATGAGTGTGCACAGCGACAGACGAATGACATGGGTACATGGGAAGACTAAAAACAAGCTGCTATAAAGCACCATTTTGCACCACCAAAAGACACTTTCAGTGCACACCCAGTAGTTTTTAAACAAAATTATATTTCCAAAGGCAACTTTTGCTTTGCATTTGTGAAGAAACGTGTCTGATTATAGCATACAAAGTAATTTATCACAACATACCATACTGTTGGATGCAATGTTGTGTTATAGTACCGCGTATTGTATAATTGCACCTTTTTGTTCCCTGACACTGTCATGGGTAATAAAGACACTGCATGTTAAAAACTATCACTGTGATGTGGCGTGGTTAGCTAAACAGATAATTTTCACTCTACACAACTAAATACAGAACATTATAGAGAGTGTGTCCCAAGGGTTATGGCTTTGTTGTATTGCTACATGTGTGGAGCTGACAGTGTATAACTGTGGCCTGTGGGAGAAAAAGCAGATTCTAATTTAGTTTTTATTGGAGGAAAATCTTGGAGGAGCTTTGGGAAAATTTGGATTATGGGCCTGAGTAAAGTGATGGACCTGAAAATATTGGAGGAGGAAATTCTGGAGCCACCAAAGCTGAGCGAGAGGATAGAAAATGCGAGTTTCTTTCTTTTGACAATAATTTTCTTTTGGAAATGGTAACCAGCAAACTATTTTCTGAATAATTTGGAGATATTTGAGATTAGGAAGGCCCAGCCCCGGCAAGAAAACTGGGAGATAGGGAATTTGGGATGCTGAAATTGGCAAAAAAATAATTCACACCAAGTTTCCTCTGCCTGCAATAGAGTACTTGTCCAAATGAACTCTATTTACATAAAGTTATCAAGTTAAGACATCATGTAAAAAGCTCAGTTTCATCTTACTCCTTCTAACATTATGGCGAATAGCTTTTGTGCTACAAGCTGAATGTAGTTCTGATATTTCAAACATCTGTCAACAAACTGACAGAGAACAGATGTTGCAAAAATTTACCACTAACCAAATTATTTAACCATTTTTAGGGGGCAATTATTTAAGCATAAAATGTGATTTTAAAGAAGTGGGTACTTAAGGTGGGTATTGAAAACAGTGATGACTAATATGGATCAACCACATGAAGCCAATAAAATAATACAAGAATAAGGTGTGTGTTGTCTGAGGAAGAAAGAGCAGGTGATTATGTCATCTTTTGGCTCTGTAACAGAGCGATGAGCCAACAACTTGGCGTGTATCTGTATGTGTTATGATGGTGTGTGTGTGATTGGTGTTATTTGTAGGCAGCGGACTACCACTTTGTCATTATGCTGCTTAACACTCGCGAATTCCAATCTGAGAAATGTTCCTAACTCCCCATCTCTATGACACATCACACACCACACTACACACGACACACACACCTACTGTGTCAACAGAAAAAGCATGCCGTATCCACAATGCATCTTTTCCCGCATTCAAATCACACAAACCGGTCCAGGCCAACAGAACATGTGTGCATCTTATACTGAGGGCTTATTTCTAGCTCAATATATCAACATTCTTCAGCAGAGAATTTATTAAGGGACTTTAAGGTTGTTGTTTTTTTATTGAGAACACTTGTTTTTGATAACACAGCCTCCACAAAGTATCGCTGACTGAGTGAGCAATGGAGCAAGAGAGGGAAAAAAAGTGACTCTTTGATAAGTATTTCCACATTACATTTCACAAGGTTTGTGTGATCAATGAGCTATCAAATACCAAACTCCTGAAAGCCATGCGACAACACTGTGAGCCAATGTTTGTCAGAGTATTAGAAGGTGAGGTATGTCAGTGTTGAAGAAAGAGGTTCCAAATACTGGTGTTTTCCATTTTCAGAATCCATATGGACAGCTGTACAAACTTTACTCATAGGCTTTCGGAGAAGAAATGTGGAACTTTGTCACCAGATAGATTTATAGTGTGAGTCACACACACACTAATTTCTAGCTCAGCCCTGTTGTACAACCTCTCCGCCCTGCTACCCTCTATAAACACATTTTACAGGCTGTTTTTCAAAGGGTTCATCTTCTCAATGAGGCCGACTAAGTGACACTGGGAGAGGGTGTGAACTGTTGGGAGAAGCCACAGACACAGACAGGCATTTAAAAACCAGTCAACTCAGCAGTACAGTCAGACAGAGTGGCACTAACACTGATGAGTAAAATTAAACTTCAGAATTAAAGGGCAGCAGTTTTGGAGGGGTGCTGTATTTATGTGGAAGTTAATTTACAGTGAAAGTCAAAGGTTTTCCCCCCCCCTAAGAGAAACAGCATTATAGAAAGTGAGTGCATCAACAACAAAGAGGCAGAGAAAGAAAAGAAAGATTTCTTTTCCCCCCCCATCAGTCGTAATTTCATCAAGCGCCCAGCAGGGGTGAGACTTACGGTGTGGAGTCCAAGCTGATGCTGTTGGCCTGCGTGGACGATGCTGACTTGTGATTGGAGGAGAAGACAGGCAGACTCGGCGAAGCGTGGATCACGTGATCGACTAGGTGACCAACGGATGACGGTCGTAGTCGTGTGCCCTCTTGTACAAACAGCGAGTTCCTGACGAGCACACACAAAGACACATACTGTTAAAGAGGATATTGACCAAATTCTCTCTGCTGCTTCACTTTTTGTTTCTTTTTTAATCATCTTTCTTTTTTTTTTTAGGCAAAGTTCTTGTAAAGCTAAGTGTTGTCTTGGTATTGATACTGAAACTATTAATTATTAAGGCAAACTGCAGGAATGCATATGGAATTATGCAATGTTTCTTGATTTTGGGGGATAGAAGTAAGTCAGAGGTTGTGGGTGAGCTTCGGAGACTTGCTCAAGGACACTTCTGCAGCATAAATATTTGCCGGTACAGTTCTGAAAAGACTTCCTAGCTTAAAAAATGATCTCTTTTGCAGCTGCTCACTAAACAAGAACAGAACATGTTCTTCTTGATCTGTAGTTGCTTTAAAAATGTATTTGTCTTCCCTTTTTAACCAAATGAATTAAACGCTTAATTCAATTAATATGCCGTCAAACTCATCATTTTAAATATTCCTCATCATGTTGATTACATTTAAAGTAGGAAAGTAGGAAACTTGGACTCACTGATTGGGCGTCCCAGGCGGTGAGCGAGTGGGCAAGCTCTGGGTCTCCAGTCTCTCATCCGATAGGCTGTTCCTGCTGACCGACTCCCAGTCGGTTCCGCCCAGCAGCTTCCTGGCCAATGGCTTACTGGGAGATCTGCGGAGACCAAGACATTCATTCAGTTAACAATAGTAACAATACAATAGAGTTTTGTTTATGTACCCTTAAAGGCTTGTAACGGCTAGATTCAACTAACCAAGAGTGACATGATGATTACCTGGCAAACACTCTGTCCTTGATGCCTTTCTCCTTTCCATACTGCACAGACTGCACCTCCGTCCGCCCGCTAGAGACAGAAACAACAAAAACAACATTCATTGGACTGTCATGGAAAACATTAACTGAAGGGAAATAGGCTGGAAATCTTTAACCCCTTGGGTTCAGCAAGGCTACAAAAAGTGATTTCTTCTTCTTGCCCTGTTTCCCGATCACACATGACAAAAGGAATATTTGTTTAATTCATATAACTATATACAGCAATACAGCGCACTGATGATTATTACTGTTGCACAACATGCTTCATATCTGATAGATAGCTAACTAGCTGTCCATAGTCTGGACCAACTCAGCTGTGAATAGTACAAGAAGACACTGTATTACCACCAAGTTACAGAAACATTGACTTTTTCTTTCTTTTCTGTGGCAGCAAACACAACTTACAGTAACTATTACACCGCAACCTGAACTTATCTACACACTTTATGGCAAACGAAAGTAACGTGACTATACCTCAACACAGCAGGAAAGACTCACTTCCTACAATAAACAGGCACAAGTTACCTACAAGCCCACCTTTCTTAAAGGGGAAAGCTCGGCTGGTAACACCCAGTGCAGTCAGGCTGTGGGTGGAGCAAGGATCAGATTCTTTACTGAAGTAAAAGTACTAAAACCACAATTTCAACTAATGTAAATTATGTCTTATTTTCTCTATTTTATATTTACTATTGCTCTATTTCAACTGCTTTAATTAAGCACATGTATTTTGTATCTGATTACTCCATTACTTGATGGAATAATAGATAGAATACTTGATTACTTAATTAATCGATAGCTTCAGCCATGCAATTGAGCAATAAAAGCACCAGTTCATCAAGCAATTCGTCATCCGTTAGTCACCAGCATTAAGAGTTGAACTTCTGTCAGCCAGTAACCAACCAAGTGCAAAACAAGATAAACAAGATGGATATCATGTAAAAACACAAATTCTTTATTATAAAGTCAGTCAGCATCTTACAGTAAGGGTGAAAACACACACACACACACAGATAAGCCAAACATCAGAGCGAGGCTCACTCGCGTTGCATCACTGCTGCTCAATAATGCATCACAAGACCTCCAACTCTCAGTTCATATCTCACTTATATTTCAAGGAAAAAGGAAATAAAAAAGTTTCCAATGAAGTGAAACTAAGTTGTCACAAGGAAATGGCATCATACAGTACTGAGTAAAATGTTTGCAGAAGTGACTTCATGTTGTTTTCTCAGTTGCTGTGAAATGTACAGTATATCACCAGTGAAACCAATTTCTGTGAAGTGACACAGGATGAATCATCAAAGAACGGCTGCAAGCCCCAATACAAAAGTTCTTCTTTCCTCTTTTTTTTTTTTTTAAAGGTAAACCCTGAATAATTAAACAGTGGTTTTCTGGGGGGAGACAGCATGAGAGGCACCCACTAGCCTTCCAGTGTATCAGTCTCTCAACCCAAAGCGAAACAACTGCATCAACTTCCAAACAAACATGCATTTCTGTTGATGGTTCCCTGAGGCAGGGCTACTGCTAAGAGTGAGACGGAAGGAAATACATAGACAACGCATCCACAAGTCTGGGTCTTGTGTGTCTGAATATGTGAGTGTACATGTCAGTCTGTCAAAGTCTGGCTGTCAAGGCAGGATTTTTTTAACAGATTCTCTGTGTGCCCTGTGGATTCTCTCCATGTTCCTCTGGGAGTGTGTATATATGGGTGTGTGTGTGTGCCCTCTTGTTCTCACCAGTATCTGAATTTTGAGCCCAGGGTAAAGTAGTGAGCGAAGAAGTTCTTCTGTGGTGGGATGGGCCGCTCCAGTCTGAAGAAAGTGTGGTGCTCCACACAGGCCTTCCACAGGTTTTTACAGGCCCGATAGTTCACCATGTTGAAACCCAGCAGCGTCTCCCGGGTCTCAGTCTGCGTGCGGGGAGGAGGAGACAGCTGTTAGTGGGACCACCGAGCAACATTTTGGCATTCAACATGTGAGGTGACAGTGGTTGACCAGTATTCAGCCAGTTTATCTAAATGTAACAGTAATGCAAGTAAAGATATATACATGCAGTAAAGATAGGCAGTGTGTAGATCAAAATTAAAGTATGATATAATAAATCACAACGTTTTAAACTAGGCCAAGACGATTATGCCTTTTATTATATTAAGAAGTTAATGTAACAGGCAGGTTGTGTACATATACAAACATATGTTCAAGGCCAGTGCAGCTCTCTAGATGCATTCAGGGAGGAGGCCGAGAGAAGAAATGGGAGACAAAAAATGAAAATAAAATAACTGTATCATTTAACTGCGAAATCTCATGTAATAACTAAAATGTTCTTATACTGTATAGACAACAAAGGCTTAAATGTTGTAGGGCAATGTAAGAAGGATGAATGATGGCCATGCAGAATAGAAAGAGATCCATGTGTCAAACAAGGGATACAGGACGCAGTGGGGGATTAAAGCAGAGTCAACCAGGACACAGACAGCAGGGGGTTAATCTGACACTGATTACACACACACGTGCAGACACAGCCCAGTTAACATCTTCAGGGTATCTACAGTATATACACACATTTACAGTATGTACAGAAACACACAGACAGACAGACACAAACAGACACTTTATCTGTTCGCAAACAAGACACAATTGTGGGAGGGCGGTGGTGGTTAATAAGTGTGTCTGTGTGTGTGTGTACACCTACCGCCTCTCTTCTCAGCTGGACGAAGAACTGTTTGCACTTGAAGGAAATTTTCACTATTTTCAACCTGGAAGCAGGAAAAAAAAAAAAGAAAAAAGAAAAAACAGAAGTTAGTGTCTCCATAGTTAATGGACCTGTATTGAGACACTGACGTTACATTTTTATTAGCTAAATGTCAGTCATTGAACTGTGGAAAATGTCAGGAGTAGGCAGTGTAAAAATCTTGAACAAATGTTATTTTGATCATTTTGTTATAATAAAAAGGAATCAAATCATACAGCACTTAAAAAATCATAACATTGTTTTACTCTAAAATAGATGAACAATGTGTTTTGGGCATTTCAATAAGCATGCAAAATAATACAGTAACACAACAAAATGGTGTCATGTACTTGCTCGACGGAGCCAAGCAGCGTCACGCCTGATGTTTCACATTATGATCAGTGCTTTTTAATTTCATTATTTGCTGAACGGTGCTCCTCCTAATAGCCGTGGCCAGTTATTGTGATAATACTTGATGGTTATTACCAGTAACATTAAGGTAATCATTGATGCTTTTAATTATGCCTTTTTGTTCCCCTTGAATTCACTTTAAGGTTATTCATCTTATTCTACAATGCCTGGAATATATATTCTGTATCAGTTTGATCATTAAAGCTATATGATGTTTAGTGAAATATTTAAACCCAGAACGTTTTTCAGAAACAACCAAAAACAAAGTATATCTTTGGGGCTATTTTTCACAGATGCAACTAAGTATCTAGCTGGCTATGCAGGAAGATAATGTTCTTAGAAGTAAAATATAAATATCTTTTGTCACGCAAAGGTTGAAGCTTAGCCATACTCTTGCTTCAGTCCACCACATTCAAAGCCCTATACAGGTGAGCTGAAGATTTCATTACTGGCAGTGTAGATAGAAAGCACGGCAGGTCCAAACTTCTCTTTCACAAATCAATAAACAGAATAGAAAGGCACACGCTGTTCTTTGAGTAAGCTGTCACATCCCAACTGTTCATTTAACCTCCGACCCACTCCTCCTTCCATAGCTGGAGGGTGTGGGTTACAAGAGTATGACGAACTGGAGTCTCCTAGCGGTTCATCTTTTCTCATCAATCTGTCTATTATCCAGTCATGCGTCTAAAGAGGAAGAAATGGTATAAAATAATGTTTGAATCAGAAGACCACACACGCATGGCCACAGTAAGAGGTCTGCTGATGAGCAGCAGAGTAACATAATCCCTCCCTAGAGCTCTGTTGCTGCTGTGACTCATCGCTCCCTGCTAAATATATTTTACATACTTACTCACACACACTTGCATGGACAAACACACACACACA